AGGAGGAGGAGAAGGAGGAGGAGGAGGAGGAGGAAGGAAGGGACCCCCCTTTCCTTTGCGAAGTCCCGAGAGGAGGGGGCGAGAGCAGGTGGAGGAGCGGCGGCATGCACAAACACTCCGCGCCGCGCGGGCTCCCTGGGTCTGCGCCCGGCCCCCCCGGGCGGCGCCCCCCGAGGCGCGCCGCGCGCTGGGATGTGGGGCCGGCGGCGATCCGTGAGACCCACGTGGACCGTGGAACGTTTGTGCGTGTGCGGATTCTCGACCCGCGGATCAAAAAGTGTGCGGATTCTCAGGGGGGGACTGGACCTAAACGATGTGTTTCGTTTCCGTTTTGTTGTCGGTTTCCCTCGTTTCGTATTTGACCCGCCTTGAACGCAAGACGACCTCGAAGAACGAAGATGGCCCACGAAATCGCCAAAACACCGTTTAGGTCCAGCCCTGGATTCTCAGGGACGAGGAGAGGGCGACAGGGGGGGGTGCTGCAAGAGGGCGCATCAACGAACCTGCCACCTGCCACACGTGTTCAGGAACACTTCGCGCGCCGCCGCGCCGAGAAGAAAGCACGGGCAGCAGCGTAGCTGCCGCGTGCTGCCGCTGCCCCCTCTGCCCCAGCCTCCTGGACCCGATCACAATCTGGACGTGACTGCCGAGGACACGCGAGAGGACACAGGACTCTGCCGACGGCAGCGTGGCCCCAGGACACCGAAGGACTCGCGGGTTGCACACAGCCGGCCCGTATAGTAAGGATGCGCGACAAGGATGCAAGGGCCTCGGACGCCCATTCCGAAGCTCTTCGAGCGGGGCGCGGCCAGCGAGAGCGGCGAAGGACGGACCGAGGAGGAAAGGATGCGAGGGTACCTTTGGGAAGGTCGCCCATGCTTACTAAGAGGGTTGACTGTAGGTCGGGATAATTGGACGGGACGCAAGAGGTACCCCTCGATTGGGCGCGTCGACCTACCGATCTCAGGCCCGGCTGCAGCCCGCCAAAAGAGTGCTGGGTCTCCGCGCGCTGGGCCGTCCGGAGTGGGGAAACCGAGTGGTGCATGGTCCGTGCTGCGGCTGGACCTTGGCAGGGCCCTGCACGGCGCCCTCCGTGCGCGGAGAAACGTGCAAACCATGATCCAGAAGATGAGCCCTGCACAGGGCAGATGATGCCAGACACCATGCACACTCGGCAAACGCTGTCCGATTTCCCCAGGAGCCATCTAGCACGTATACAGGGGGGCGGAGTCAGCAGTTCACCGAGACCACGCCCTGCCCTGATCGCTCGGGGCCCTTGTCACGGGGTCACGGCGACCCTAACCCCCGACATTGTGGATTGTTTGACCAGAGACGACTAGCGGGGCCAGACGCGGGGATGAAATTACGATGGGGGGCGTCCATCTTCGAGATGGGTTGCGTCCGAACAGCCGCTTGGGGGTGCATCCCTGAAATCCCCCCTTCTACACTGCACGTGTCGTTCCCCACCCGACAGGTTGGGGTCGATAGATTTGAAGGAAATATTGGCAGGGATTGCTGGTTTACATCCCCACTCTTTCCGTACAATCTAAGCATAGTCACATGAGCGCAGGTCATGAAATCAGGACGGCCCGCTCTAGGACCAAGGCCCCGTAGAGGTACCACAATCGAAAATCCAAGGCTGAAAGCCCCAGCGGGAAGAACATGAGGGCAATTCTTAACCCTCGTGCAACATGAACCCACTGTGTAGAAACACACTCTCTCACACACACACACACACACGCGCTCGCCCGGTTACATACATGGACACGGCCTCCTAGTCCGCGAGGGCGGCCTCGTGTCACGAACGAGCGCTCGCGCAGCGCACGCGTACTCTCGAAACCCACGAGAATTCGTGCACACGTGTGTGCTCTCTCTTGATTCCGGCCGAACCGATCGCAAGCCCTCCTCGACGACGGCGGCGACGACGGCAGCGGGGAGCGCCTCCCCTCCAGCTCCCCGACGTCGTGATGTCTTGACACCATTTGGCCCCAAGAGGTCTCCACCCATTCCCTTGGACAGGCTTTCCATCCTGACTCGCTTCTTGACGGTACCCGGAGGCAGGAAATTGCCAAACACCGTCCACCGCGGTTCCTGCTGGAGGCCTGGAAATGGGCACCAACACCAACACTGGGGGTTGCCTCACAGGGGGAAGATGATCCTAGATTTCGGTGTTCGTGGTGACCTTTCGGTCACCTTGGAAGCCTGATTGTTACCACCATCCCCGAGATCGGCATCTTCTTCCCTCGGTGGAGGCGCACCGCCGATATTCCTGTTGGTGACAACCTCTAGGCCTGCGATCCTGTCCACGAAGCGAGGGGGTGTGGTACGGGGGCGGCGGCGGCGAGGGCCCCCCGACGCTCGCCGAGATGGTTTTGGTGGAAGTCCGCGGCCCCAGGGGTCCTGACCGCTTCCCTGGCGATATCCCCCCCGTCCCCGATCCAGCCTGAAGTCGGGCGTGTCCCCCTACAGAGGGAACTTGGACGAAACATTCAAAATAGTCAAAAAGTACGCCAAAAATGCCCCAAGTACTAGAAACATCGTCTCCAGACTATGTTTGACTATCTTTGAATGATCCCCCTGTGCAAGGACACGCCCGACTTACATCCAGCCTTGCTGGTCCCGGGGCCCGAAGGCGGCCGAGAACCAGGCAAAGGCCAGAACAGAAGCAAGAACAGACTGCTGGAGATCTGGGGCCGGAGGCAGGAGAGCCCAGAGTCGAATCGATAGGTCGGATCGGCGATCGACATGAATCGGATCGGCGGAAATCGGCAGCCGCGTCGGAAAGAAAGTCGAATCGGCGGAGATCGGCAGGCTGGTAGGGTAGGCCTCCCAGAAGAAGCCGGAGCCCGAGCCGGGATCCCCAAAAGCCGAACCGAGGCGGAAGCGAAAGCCATCGACATGGAAGCGAGCCGAATCGGCGGAGTCGACACGAGCCCCGGAGGGGGCGGCGGCGGAGCGGGCCGTGGAGTACGCCAGGGCGGCGGCGGCCGCCGCCGCGACCAGCGCGGAGGAGCGCGAGCGGGCCATGGCTCCGGCGGGGGGGGCGGCCGCCGCGCTGCGTCGGACGGGAGAAGCCTCCCCAGGCCTGCCCGGACGCCGTGGGGCCGAGACCGAAGGGCTCAGAGGTGTGTTGTGCTCAGAGAGCACCTCGGCGAAGGGCAGCTGCTCCGAGGAGCAGCGCTGAGGGAAAAACGCCGCCGGGGGGGAACCGTCGACCCAGAATCGGCGGCACGTCGCCGACAGATCGGCGAAGCGCAGCGGATGGCGAATCTGCACGCTGCCGGGTCGGGCCACAATCCAAATCCTGGCGGCGGACACGAGGGGGTAGGGAGAGGCGGGAAGGCGTCTTAGAAGGAGGCTGCTTCTTAGAAGGCGCCGGCCTTGTCTGCAGCTGTAGGCCTGGCGCCGTCTGAGAAGCAGCCTCCTTTTGGGAAGCCTCCCCCCTCCCCCATGCCCCCCCGTGCGCGCCGCCAGCTATCGGCAAAGAAGGGGCGACTGGGGGTCGGTGCATCTTCCCTGGGCCTAACCCTCCTCCGGACGCTGCGCCCCTGAGCAGCTGCTCCGCCCAAACCTCGGCGCGGGATGGCCTTCGCACCCCCGCGGGGAGGCCTGCAGAGAAGAGGCACGGCGTCGGGGCAGGCTGGGCAGGAGGATGCCGGCTACACACCGACACCGACCCTGGCCTGGCCCAGCCAGGGCCCCTGATCGGCGCATGCAGTCGAAACTGGTGGTCCAGATGCACCACGAGGATGCAAGCCCCGTGTACGCCCGCGTGGAAGCTTTTCTGCGAGCGGGGCTGGCGCCATCGAGAGTGGACCGAAGAGGCAAGGACTAGAGGAAGGAAACACTGCATAAACGTAACCTTTTGGCGCTCCTCTCGGATGTCTTGGATCTTGCGCTGGATCCCCCTCCCGCAGCTCCAAGACATCCGCGCGGAGCTCCCAAAACTCGTGTCCATGCCACTTGTCCTTCCTCGACCGGCTGCAAGGGCACCCTTAAGGGCCCTTGGGAAGGTTACCCGTCCCTACCGTCGGCTCCGACCGCAGCGCCCCCTCAGGGCCTGGCAGGAGAGGCCTGCGCACCAGCTTGGACGCCCGAAATGGGTACGGAAAAGATGGGTACAACGCCCAACCGCCAATGTTGCCCCGGGCCGACAGCGGCCGCTGTCGGGCAGGCGGCCTCCTGCCTCAAGTGGACACGGGCCGCGGCGGCGCGGACGGCGAGCCCTGCTCAAAATGACTACCTACCAGACCACCCCAACCCAACCCGAAGACCCGAATTTGACCCGAATTTCGGGTTGGGGGGGGGTACGGATACCATGTGTTTTTTCAACGTTCCCCGACCCCCCCCACTGGAAATCGAGGATAAATTTGGGCCTTCGGGTTGGGTTGGGGTGGTTTGGTGGGTGGTGACAAAAGGAGCAGGAACTGTCGCTGGGCACTGTGCCCGTTCTTTCCTCACCCGTCTCGACCGTCCCGAGCCAGGCCCTGCGCCCCCGCAGCGGCCCAGCCGGGCTCGGCGCGGGCGTGCAGCGCGCGCCCTCCGACGATGGGGGCGGGGGCGGGCTTGGGCCGGCCTGCCTGCGGCGGCGGAGGGGTCGGGGCGCCGCCTGCTCGGGCGGAGCGGGGGGACGGAGCGCGGGCGGGGGGAGTGCGGGGGGGTGGGGGGGGGCGACCAGAGAGCTGGGGCTAGGTCGGGCATGTCCTCCAAAACGCGGATTTTGGACGAAGAGCAAAACAACAAAACAAACACACACACACATACACACACACATCTATATATATATATATGTGTGTGTGCGTAATATATACATATATATATATATATGTACCTATATTACATACATATATACATACACATACTCAAAAAAACCGTCCCCACACTATTTTTGGACAATTTTTGAACATTCCTCCTGCAGAGGGGCACGCCTGACGTAAAGCTGTGGGGGAGGCCCAACAGCCGCGCCACGCGAGCCGGATCACGACGCAGATTCTTTTTTGGCCGTGCTCGCCCTCCAAGGGAGCCCAAGCGGGGGCCCTCAGCAGACGTCCCGGGATTGGGGAAGCCGGGGGAGCCCACAAAGGACGCACGCGCCCAGCCACGAGGCCTTCTAGATGGGGTCGGAGTAGATGGGGTCGCAGGATCGCGCCGCATCGCCGATACATCGGCGATGCATCGGCGATGTCGACGATGCATCGCTAGTGCATCGCCGATGCATCGGGGATGCGGCGCGATCCTCCGACCCAATCTACTACGACCCCATCGATAATTATTTCACCTCTAAAACATATAGCTATTGACTTTTGTAGGACTAATAAAAAATTGAGCCAAAGCAGCCATGAGGTGAGTAAAAGCATTGTTTATAGGAAGGGGGAAAGCTTTCTGGAAGGAGGCCGCTTCTTAGAAGGCGCCGGCCCTACATCTGTAGACAAGGCCCGCGCCTTCTAGGGAGCAGGGGTGCTTCTGAGAAGCCTTCCCGACTCCCCCCACCCCTCTCGGCACGTGGCCGATCATGGGAGCCTCCGAAACCATCTTGTTTGCTCTTGAGAACCGACGCTAATCGACGCTGACCCGACGCCAATCGACGCTAAGTCGGCGCTATCTCATCGATGGCCAGCCGCTAATCGACGCCAGCGCACTCTAGAGACGCAATTGCGAGGCTAGATAGACTATGCTCCCATGACGTTTTCTATCGGGCGAGCCTAGGAGGGAAGGGCGCCGGCTCCAGGCCTCCGACAATATGAGTTGCTCGATCCCGCCGTAAGACGGAGCCAGGACGAGGACAACATCGGGTGACGATAAGACGATGATCTTTGAGATCGGGTGGCTCTGGAGAACGTCTCGGGCGCCGCGGCCTTCTGAGAGCGTTCCGGAACGCTCTGAGAGCGTTCCAGAACGCTCTGGCATCCTCGACTGAGGTCGGCCACGTCCCCCTACAGGCAGAGTTTGGGCGAAAACTTAAACACAGTGGGCGAACCTTGAAACATAAGTCAAACAAGAAAGCCAAAATTGCAATGCAACAAAAAAAAACGCCCAGACTATTTCTGGACTATTTTGGGATCTTCCTCCTGTAGTCGGGTCGGGCGAAAGGGGGGGATAGCAAAGGGGGGGTTTGAGAAGCAGCTCACGCAGCTGATCTTCCCGGCGCCTCCCGGCGCCGGAGGCGGCCATATACCGAGGAGTGGGCCCCTCGGTGAGGCCGAAACCAGCTGCATGCAGCAAATTTCGTAACCCCCCCTTTCCCAATCCCCCCCTTTCGCCCGGCCCGGTGTAGGTGCGCGGCTTAAGTAGGGGGCAAACAAACCTACCTCGCTTTTGACCACCCTCGCTTCCATGAGATACCAAACGATGCCAAACTACGGCCTGTACTGGTCAGGCGACTTGACGAGGAGGCGTGTGGTATGACTTGGTTTTGCCTGGAAGCGAAAGCGGGGTAGGTAATTCACGCTCCGATTAAGGCCATATCCGCCCCTGGCGGCGGCGTGCGCCCCGTCGGAGCCGCCCCGCGGCACCCCGGCTGCGGTGCCGCGGCGGGGGCCCGCGGGGCCCTCGCCGCAGCTCTCGGCGGCGACGACCGACGTGCAGGTGACTCGGAAGCTGGGCAAGGGCTGCTAAATCCGTGGCTGCTAAAATCGACCTCCGGGAAGTTGTCTTCGTCCTTCCGGGAAGAAGCCCGTTTACTGTTTCTCGTGCCGCGTCTCATTCCGGGAAGTTGCTTTTTCCTTCCGGGAGAGCCGTTTTGGCAGCCACGGTTTTAGCAGCCCTCGCCCAGCTTCCGAGTGACCCAGGAGGGCGCCAGCTCGGGGTCGGGGCTTGCCTTCCTCTCGCACTTTGCTCGGGTGCCCCAGGAGGGGGGTTCCAGTCTCGGCAGTCTTGCCGGGCTCCCCGAGGGGGGCCCTGCTTCGAACAAGGCACTGCGCGGCGTGGTCTTATGCTTGTTTTGGTTACTCGAGGATGCCAGGGTCGGGACATGAAGACGAATCCGGCTCATGGAGCTCGGATCTGTTCCATGAATTTAGGTGACCCAAACGAGGGTCCAGCTGAAAGGGGGTGGTGAAATGGCTTTGGGGCAATTGTGCTGCAAATATACTGCGCCGGAGAATCGCATCGCATTGTAGTGCAAATGATGCACTGCACGCCAAAGTGTGGCAACACATCTGCGCCCCGGAATGTACTGCACGCCCCAGATGTACTGCAGCCCCACAAATCTATGGATTGCATCAAATCTATTGCACCACCCCCTTGTCGCTGGACCCCCTCTTGGGTCAACCCGACTCCCGGGGCCGTTTTCATAGAGCAGGGACGGACCGTGCCAGCACTCCTGTAGGCCTACCCCGACATGCTCTTAGAACCCACAAGTGATCACCGTCACGACGCGAAGCGCTCCACGTTGTTGTTTGGGGCCACGGCTCAGGCCTCCAGCGACCGCTTGGGGAAACTCTGGAGGCCCTCGACGAGGCGGAGCTGATTGACACCACCCCCTGGGGCCCGAAATCCTCCAGGCACCGCTCGACAAAAGCCATCGAGCCCTCACATCCGCCGAGACGACGTTTCTCGACCCGCGGTCCCTTAAGGAGGTCCCGACCCCTTCCCTGCAGAGTTTTCCACCCCGGATGCATGTTTGAGGGCTCCGGGGGCCCGACCGATAACAGACCCCAAAAAACAAAATGTATGAACATCGCTGGTGTGCTTTACAAATTACACCAGAGAAAAGTCACAATCTGTGGATGGTTTGACATGGGATCGATAAAAAGATCGATAAGGAGATCGACCGGGAACCCGGGAACCCGGAACTGAACCCACCGACATCGGCCCAAAACCAATAACCATGAACCTGGGAACCCCGAGCTGGGAACCCGGGAACCCAGCCGGACACCGAAATCGGCGGGACAATGTCGCCAAAATGTCAATTTCCGCTGGGACCCCTTCAATGCAAGCACTGATTGGGGAATGAAAACCGCCGGGGTTTTACAAACCATCCTTTGCCGACCACTGTCGGTAAAGCTCTGCACGATCGGGTTGCGACCGACCGACTCTGGCCTCTGGGTCGCGAACTCCTAGCACGAGCGAGCCGCTGACGGCCTCGAACCCTCGCTTGGACCCCCACACGCCGTCCCTTCGTTGCCGACATTCGACCCCCTGCGGTCGCGATAGCGATTCGGCGCGCCCGGAATCCGTTACCAACACTTCTCGATCGCGGACGATCTGAGAGTATGATGGGTCTGTCTTCCACCACCACCACCAGAAGCTGGAGGGGGGGAGGAGGTGGAGGATGAGGAGGGAGAAGACCAGGGGGAGGAGGGACTCCCTCCCCCCTCCACCTCATGGTGGTGGTGGCGGAAAACAGGCCCATCAGAACAGGGGGAGATTTCAGACCACCCGGCGGCGAGTCCGGGGGGAAGTGAGAGGGGACGGGCTGAGGAACCCTGGCCCTCGGAGAGCTTGCCCGAGCCCTCCCCGGAGGCACAGGCCGCCTCGCAGAAGGCCGGAGGGGCCATCTCGGAAGCCCCGCGGCCTTCTGAGAGGGCCTCCTCCTTCTCACTTCCCCCCCCCCCGCTCGCCGCCGAAACACAGACTGCCGCAGAGGTCAGGGAAGGCCAGACGGCGCGCGAGTGGAGCAGGCACCGACCGTCCCAGCACCCCTACAGGCCTACCACGACATGTTCTTAGAGCCCCCAAACACATGTTCGAATAACAACAACAACAACAATCACTTTACCCGAACGCTCAGTGTTCTCATCAGTGCCAGGGTTTTCATGCGACGCCAGCCAATACCCCCACTTTGTGGGGGGGCAGTGCAAGCTCTACCAAATATCCACACGACTCTTCGCCACCACCCACACCCAGCTTCCCGCCCTATGACGTTCGGACACTTCACTTCGTGGCCTGCGGACGACCGTGGCTACTACACTGGCGTGGAGTACACACCCACAGAAGTTGTTAGGACAGCGCGCGCGGGTAGAAATTTTGAAAAGTCGTGCAGGTGTTTTTCGAGGACCTACGGTGCGATTCGTGTGATTTTATGATGCGCGGTGCTAAAATTCTTAAGAAGCCCAATGGTTTTTGGAGATTTCGGCGTGCGCGCGCGAAGAAAAAACGAATGTGTCCCGCATGGTATTATTTGACAGGGATGATGGCCCTGGCAGGTGCGCAACCGTTGTCGCAGAAGTTCGAAAAAGTTGCTCGCAAAAGCCCGTTTGACAGAAATGTTTAAAAAGTGTTGGGTTTCCTACGAATCCGCAAGAGCGCGCGGGATGAGATTTTGACAATTTTTTGTTGAAAAACCATTGGTTTTTTGATGTTTTTATGTTAAAATCGCTGCGAACACTAAGGTTTTGGAAGGATTTCGTCTTGCGCGCGCGAATGTCCACTTTACCTTATTTTTTGCAAGGGATTCTTGAAATTTGATTATATTAGAACAAGAAATGTCATTTTATAGTGTTTTTTGCAAGGGAAAGCGGATTACAACAAAACAACCGGATCTTGATCACATCGTTTTACCTGAGGCTTCCTCACGAAAATGATGAAAATGTAGCTGCGGCCTAGGCGGCGCAGGGGGGGCGCGCACCAGGGGGCCCAACA